CCCTCGGCTGCTAACTGGAAGGTTGGCAGTTTGAATCCACCAGGTTCTCTGCAGGAGAAATGTGTGAGTATATGCTTCTATAAAGATTAACAGCCATGGAAATACTATAAGGCAGTCCTACTCTGGACTATAGCACTATGAGAGTTTTGGTTTTAATCAAGATTCTCAAACTCTTATTGTCATGGAGTTGATTCCTACTCATAGCGACCCCCTTTGGGTTTCTGAGTTGGGAAATCTTTATGCAAGTAGATTGCCCAATAGTCTTTCTATGGAGTGGCTGTTGGGTTTGTACTGCCAACCTTCTGGTTAGCAGTCAAATGCTTTAGGCACTATACCACCAGAGCTCCTTACTAGTGGTATAATTTATGGCATTCCCAATAACATTTCTACTATATAATAATAAATATAGTTGAATGCTTCTCATTTTATTTTTTTTCATATAGTGCACCAATAAAGCCAAGGAAATAACAAGAAAACGAAATTCACTAAAAGAAGTTTTATAAATGGGCAACATTGTGATTCTGGTGTAAAGTTCTCTACTATTCTCTTCCATTTAAGTGTAAAATGTAGAATATATAGCTGAATGCAATCATTGCATTTTCTTCAGTTAACTCTTTAAAAACATCACTACTATCTAGACTTTTAATATAAACTCAAAGCTATCAGTACTACCAGGAATCAGGAGTATAGCTAGATTAAATGTGTTGTTGATTAAGAGTTAATCCATGTTTTTGATAATCAGATGGTTAAATGATAGGTACAATCTTGCCCTAGACTGTGTTAATGCTTTGTCAACTCCATTATAATAGAACATTTTTAATTTCCACAATCTTGCAATTTATAGCATAGCCTATGTATCTGCTATGTATCTATGTGGACCTCTGGACTATTTCATAAAAGGAGCAATGATTTACTAATCTCTCTATCAATAGCATATTATCACAATGCCAGATATATAGTGGAATTTTTAAATTAATACTTTAATTAAAGAAATCCATTTTCTTTACTTTAAATTAAAAGTCATTAATTTATAATTTTCATCACTATTAGTCATTAGTTCATTATTTTGACTCAAAATATTTGGGGGAATATTTTGAATCAATTTTGGAAACATCAAAGTTAGTCTAATTGATTTATCATTAGCTTTTTCTTCACTCTTCTTTGCTCCAAACAGAGGGAGCCTTAACAGTTGCACCTTAGCTGACTACTCACAAACTTTTAAGACACCAGTCACTATCTAGCAAAGTAAGATGTAGAACATTGTCTTTGTGGCCTATGTTATGCCAATTGAACTTGATGTGCCCCAAGACTATGGTTCTGAGCCCCTGGGCCCAGTGACTCATTCCTTCAAGGTATGTGGTCATGGCTAAAATGTTTTTATAACTTTGCCCACTTTATGCTTTACTGTATTCATGGATATATTTGCAGCACATATAGAAATATCCTCTGGCAAACCTATGTGTATTCATGGGTATAGTCCATTCACCTTCCCACACCTGTTCTTCTTGTGTGTCTATCTATGTACCCACTCATAAATCATTGTTATTACTCTTATTGTAGAATTATGTATGTAATAGTATTTACCTCTGTTACATTTAACCCTTGTATTCCTCCCAGAGTCTTCCTTCACCTTGATCATTTTGTGCCAACCTTCTACTTATTGTATATTGCTTTTCCTTTCACCCAAGTTAATATATGTCTATCCTCTTGTTGGTTATTTATACTCCCATAGCGTTCCACCTCTGTTAATCTTCAAAAGTTTGTTTCTTTCTGTGAGTAAACTTTATCTTGACTTTTTATAGTAGTGGCCTCATACAATATTTGTCCTTTTGTAATTGACTAATTCCACTGAGCATAATGTCTTCCAGGTTCATCCAAGTTATGAAGTATTTCACAGATTCATCATTATTCTTTAACGTTGTGTAGCATTCCATTGTACATGTGTACCATACTTTGTCTATTCATCTGGTGATGATCACTTAGGTTGTTTCTATGTTTTTGCTATTATGAATAGTGCTTCAATGAACACGGGTGTACATATATCTATTCATGTTACAACTCCTATTCTCTAGAATATATACCTAGCAGTGAGATTGCAGGATAATATAGTATTTCTTTTTCCAACTATTTAAGGAATCACCATACCATTTTGCACAGTGGTTTCACCATTTTACCACCTCTATTGTATGAGGATTCCAGTCTCTCCACACCCTCACCAAAATTCGTAATTTTCTATGTTTTTGAAATTTGTTGTTAATGCTAGGGGAGCTCTGGTACCATAGTGCCTAAGGCACTTGACTGCTAACCAGAAGGCTGGCAGTTCAAACCCACCAGCCACTCCTCGGAAGGAAGATGGGGCAATCTACTTCCATAGTGATACTGCCTCGGAAACCCAAGAAGGGGTCGCTATGAGTTGGATCCGACTCGACGGCAAATAACAACAACAACAGGGTGAGATGATATCTCATTGCTGTTTTGATTTGTATCTCTCGAGTGGCTGAAAACAGGAGCTCTGATAGCACACTGCCTAAAGTACCTGACTGCTAACCAGAAGTTTGGTGGTTCACACCCACTTGCCACTTCACAGAAGTTAGACTGGGCAATCTACTTCTCTAAAGATTTTACTGCCTTGGAAACCCAATGGGGGTCTCTATGAGTTGGGATCGACTTGATGACAGTGGGTTTGGTTTTTTTTTTTGCTTTACTGGCTGAAAATTGTGAACATTTCTTCATCTGTTTGTTGACTACCTGAATGTCTTTTTTGGTGAAGTTTCTATTGATGTCCTCTTACCATTTTCCATTGGATTTTTGTCTTTTTGTTGTTAAGATGCTGAAATGTTATATAAATTTTGGAGATTAGTCCCTTGTCAGATATATAGTTGTAAAAAACTTTTTCCCACTTGTGATAGTTGGACTTGTGTGTCACCTTGGCTGGACCACAATTCTGTGTGGTTTAAGGAATTGTGATGTGGCTTGTTCCAATGATGGGATCAGATGTATATGTTTTGAGCAGCCAATCTGTTGAAAGGAAGTTTCCCTAGGGATGTAGCCTACTTCCAGTATATTTATGGGCATCCTGGGAAAAGATACACTCTTCCATGGATCAGGATTCTGTTGTGCTGCCTACAACTGTCTGTGAGTGAACAATCCATCATTCGGCCTAGAGATCTTGGATTCGTCATTCATTGGAGTCAACAGCCAGTATACTGCCTGTCAACCTTGATCTCCTCAGCCCCTGCAGCTGTGTGAGTCGGGAAATGCCTCCAGCTTGAAGTTTGATCCAAGAACTTGGGACTTGCCAGCTTCTGTAAGTGTGTGAGCCATTTTTCTAAGATAAATTTCTCTTTCTCTCCCTCTATATAAGCTTTACTGGTTTTGTTTCTCTTGAGAACCCAGTCTAACATATTTGGTACTGAGAGTGGGGTGCTGCTCTGATAGATACCTAAAATGTGGAAACAGGAGTGGAGTGCATCCTTGACCCGAGACCCTGGCAGAGAGACCCCGGCATATAGCATGAGAGACAACAGGAGCACAGCCAAGAGACCAGCATGAGAGACAGCAGGAGCAGAGCCCAGAGACCGGCATTAAACAGCAGCAGGCTTACCAGCCCACAGAGGAGAAAGCCAGGTGCCATTGGGTAAGTGGCTTCTTGGTGGAGTGGGTTGCCTTCAGGCATTAATTGGTAAAAGAGACTGGCTTGAGATAGAGTAGCAGGTTGGCTGGCCCACAGAGCAAGAAAACCAAGTGCTTTTTGAGAAGGAAGTTTTCAACAGAGTAGGTTGCCTTCGGCATTAATAGGCAGAAATGGAGAGACTAAGGAAACAGGAAGCAGAGCTGCCTCAGACTTAAGGGTAAGACCATGGCCTTTGGGGGTG